TCTCTCTCTCTCTCTCTCTCTTGTTCAGAATTTTTAAAGGTGTGACTTCAGCTTCGATGAAAAGAAAAGCATTTCAATTACAGTAGTCTCCGCCTACGATCCCACATATGGTCCCGGTTCGCGTAAGATCCCGCTGTTTCAGAAAAACAAAATTTGTACACTATAAAATAATAAAAGTAACTCCTAAGATACCACACTGAAGGAGCTACATTTGCCTAAGATCCCGTTTTTCAGGTCAAAATTGTAGGGGGTTGTTTTGGTGGGGTTTTTTTTTTTACTTATTCAAGAAAAAAAAAAGAATAAGAAATCTGGACGCGCTCAGCTGATCAACCAAGCAGCAAAGATGTGCGATCGTTGTACGGTCCGTAGCGTCACGGATCATTCACTCTCATGAACGCGATCACACCTCTGTAGTAAATCTCGATAAGCGGTTACAATGTTTACCCCAGACTGGATCGCACCAAGGTGTGAACTCGTCGGTGCCTTGCTTTCCCCGATCACTGGAGCCGTCTGCCTGATCTTACATCACACACTACTAGGTGGTGAGGGCCTACAACTACAAGTGTACAAGCAAGCATCAGACTGCATTTCTATCAAACTGTGAACTCGTGGACGCTACGTTTTCCCAACAATCGCTCTCGTCTTTCAGTTTTGCGCACTAACTTCCTATTCAGACTGGCACCCCTGCTCATGGACTGTCCATTGCTGCTTAATGGGGTCATAGATCCTGCATTTTCCTTGCTCCCAAACACCGGGATCTAATGCAGAGACTACTACTGTACATTGAAAATTGAAACCATAAAGGAACTTTAATTCATTATGATCATACATGCAATAATTTTAATTTTTTGTAGAAATTAATTTTGAGTATTACCCGGGTAGCGGCCGAAGTCTACTTTTATTGATTTTAGAACCACTTGAGACCTCCGAGATTTTTTTCCCCTTATCCGAGAAGGCTAGGTGTTAAATCTTACCTACCCTGAGATCAGGAGTGTGACTGAAAGACAGCCGTAAGGAGCCAAGAAGTGGCGGTAGAAAGGCAGCAGAAAGAGCCAGGAGTCCAGAGGAGGGGGCGGGGGCG